CATGGTACACCTTCTTCAGAAACTCTGCATATTTTCTTAATTTGCTTGCATCTTTTTTCTTCTTTCAGTCTTTTATCCTACTCCGAATGAGTAATACTTTAAATTGCTTTTTGATTTTAAGCTCATCTTTTGACGATGCCTCTTTAATATGTTATTTTTCAGCTGCAGATGAGGCTTCATATCGCCCCGGCCCTAATGAATTTGAATCTCTTGCGTTCTCGAAAATGAGTCCTTTTGGTGAGAAGCCGAGCACTTTGAACGAAGAGATCATGCCAATGGCCGCTCCTCTCTTTCTTTTGCCGTCGGGTGGCTGTTCTCGACGGACCTCATTAAAGAGGCGTCCTTCCCTTCAGGCCAGCTCAACCGGGACTCGAGGTCTGGCCAGTAAGACGAACCTCCACCGAGCGGATTCAGGACTCAGCAATCGACTGCCCGTCTGGCAAGCCCAGGTGGACAGTGAAACTGTGACAACCGTCACCTCGAACTTTGACGACGAAGAGGATGGAGATGCAGAAGGGAGGTTTGGCAATGCCGGATCCACGGGCGAAGCAATTGTGGGTCGAGTTGTAGACGTGGCCAATCTGGAGGAGCTGGCCGATTTCGATCTTGTGTATGGCCATTTTAATGAGGGGGCCGGCTCCGAAATGGACGATGAAATGAATAGTGATGAAGATGGTGACGATTATGATGAAGATGATGATGATTTCGAAAGAGAACGGTTCGACACAAAGATGGAGGACACTGACGAATTGGGCTTTGAAGACGAGGACGCTGCAAAGGTGAAGCAACGTCGGTGGCTCCGGCGATATCGACTGCCCAGGCTGCCAGTTGCTCGACCATGGCGACGAAGTGGTACCTTACAGCTATTTGCTGAAACTTTTGTATTGTCTACTTTTGCAATTACGCAAGAAATTCGTTTGCCCAACTGATTTATACATCATCTAAGACCTCCGTAATTATCACACCTTCGAAGCAGGTGCTATTATGATCTGGTTATGCGTAATGGTGTTGACTAACAGATGCTTCTTTACAAATTTCCTGAAGATCATTACCGCATGACTCTGCCCCTTTTTCTCGGTTTAACTCATTTTCCGTTTACTCGTCGGTTTTCGAGACTACCAGTAGCTCGTATATTCTAAATATATTCAACCTATTTCGTGTATGGTGATGAAGGATTGGTAGTTGAATTTCCCACAATAAGTTAAGTTGACCTTGAATTGAATTTCCACTACATTTTACATAGCTTTGCTTTCCCAAAAGATATTCTCCTCTCGGCTGAAGTGGACCGCAGTCTCGGCCAGTCTCATCAGCAACCCAGGTGGGACTCAA